AGGCTGAGGAGTCACCCTTCACAAGCACAGAGCCCTGGGATTCTAGCCTGGCCTGAGTCCTGGGCAGGGGGAGGACTGAATCCCACTGTTCCTCCCTGAAGCTGTACGCTTCCTTGAACAGCCTGGACCCACACTCTGCCTGAAGTAGTCTCAAGAGGCCTGTTCAATCCTGGGGTTCAAAGGTGGCTATTACTAATCATAATACCTGAACAAGCCTCTTGACCTGTGTGCACCTCAGTTTCCCCAGCTGTAAACCCAGATGGTGCACAGTCCTGTTACCAGGAGAGGTGGGTTAATGGGAGGGGCTGAGTGGACCCAGCGGAGGACTGGCTCAATGCTGCTCCTCACTCCTCCCATCCCCCTTGATGACTTCTCCCACCCTCGCATACCCTCTACACTGCCCTCATCACCCCATGCAACGCACACCCCCGGCGCCTCATCTGCTGGGATGTCTGCACCCAGATGCCTTGCCCCAGGACTCCCTTGCTCCAACCACAGCCTGAGAAGCAGGAGGGCGCAGGAGGGTGCAGGGTGTGCCGAAAGCTACAGGAAGGGCTGTCCTGCTCTAGTGGCTGTGCTGCTGGATCAAGGGACACAGGCAAGGCAGCTCTGAGTCACCGAATGGGGCTGATGGGTGTCTGACACTCAGTGAGGTTACCCAGGTAGCCTCTGACCACAGGGCCTGACACCCACGCAGCCCCAGCCAGCCCCTTGACCTCCCCCAGGGTACCAGTGCCTAGAGTGCTTTGCTGGCTGCCCAGGAGCCACTCCTAGCCTTCCTCCTCCTTTCCATCTTTGGCCCAGGATCCTCCCCACCATCATTCCTCGACCACTTCTGGAACATTTTTAAAATTTTATTTATTTTGGAGAGAGAGAGAGAGAGAGAAGGCACACGTGCTTGTGTGAGCGGTGGGGGGGCGGTGGCGGCAAGGGAGAGAGATCAGACTCCCTGCTAGTGCAGAGCCCCACATGGGGCTCGATCTCACCACCCTAAGATCATGACCTGAGCCAAAATCAAGAGTTAGACCCTTAACTGACTGAGCCACCCACGTGCTCCTCTTCTGGAAGATTCTTTAAAAACAAAAAAAAGATTTTATTTATTTGAGAGAGAAAGCATGAGAGAGGGGAGAGGGTCAGAGGGAGAAGCAGATTCCAGGATTGTGACCTGAGCCCCAGGCAGACACTTGACTGATCCACCCAGAAGCCCCATTCTGGAACATTCTTTACCCTCTGCCTCCACGGTCCTGTGGATGCCGGAGCCCAAGGCAGGATCTACACCAACTTCACTGCAAACTCCCAGGCCCCAAACTCTGAACACCTGTTCCGCTGCTCCTCTACCAGCTCCTCGGAAGCACCTGATGTCAGCCTCACGGACCTGCAGCAGCCTCCATGGCTGGAGAAAACTGAGGCCTCTCACTAGTTCTCTCCTCCCAACGGCACTCCTGCTCTCGCCACCTCCTTCCCCTCTTACCCCTCGCCCTCAGTCCATCTCTCCTCCTCCCATCTCTGCAGCCCTCAGCCAGCTCCTTCCTCCATCTCTGCAGACAGACTCAGGTGCCTCTGGAGGCTCAGAATCACCAAGGGGCTCAGTGGCTTTCATCCTTTGCTCCCTCAAGGCACCCGCTCTCCCTCTCCCTCCCCCCACCATGGAAGCCCTGTGGTGCCGCTCCAGTCTCCTCTCTCTGGTGTCTGCCTTTGTCAGAGCCTGAGGAGCTTGGAGAACTGTTCAAGTCCCAGCTACGGGCCCTGCGGCCCCAGACAGACTCCCTAAACCCTCTGCACCACGGTCTTTCACCCCAATGCGGTGATAACACGTGTAGGTCACAGGGCTGCTGGGAGGATGCTGCTGTTAGGGGTTACACAGCCCAGTGTTCTCGGGGTGCGTGTGCAGGAGGCTCGGTCTGTGTGGGCGATTGGAGGAACTCAGAATTAGTGCGGCGCTTCAGTGCTGGTGCCCCACGCCACACCGGACGGCGGCAGCGACGGGAAGCCCGGATCCCTCCTCGGCCAAGCGGCTCCAGGCCGGCTGGCCCACAACAGGGGCCTGGAGCTGCTGCAGCCATCTGGTCAACACTCCGCGTTGGCAGGGTAGGAGAGCACCCCCGAGGAGACACGTGGGCCCAGGATTGGGGCGCCGGCCTGAGGGGCACCTGGCTCTGCTGCCCTCCCAGCCACCAGAGAGAAAGACCGTGAGCTGGGGAGAGGCGAGGGCAGAGCACAGCCCGCGTCCTGGGAGCTGCAGTTACTCCGTTTCTCACAGCTCCTTCTTTCCTTCACCGCCGGGTCTTCCCTTTGTCCTCCCTCAGGCTACCTGGATCAGATGGGGCTCCGGGACCCAAGGCCTGCGGCCCTTACTCCCCCCTCCCCTGGGGCCTGAGCCACCAGGGGGAGCTCCTGATGCCAAGCCCTCCAGGTCCTGACACTTTCCTGGCCTCAACATTTTCCAGTGGTGCTGGGCTGGGGGCCCTTATGGGGGCGGAAACTGCCAGCAAGGTGTATGCCGCAGGCCATCTATGAAAGGGGCCACAGTTCCTGCCCTGGATGTCTTCCCTGACTCTCAGCAGGGGTGGCCTTGGCCCCAGGGGGCCATTGGGAAAGGTCAGGAAACACCTTTGTCACAACTGGTGCTCCTCAGCCTACAACAGACATTAGCTGGCTCAAGATGGAGGCCATGCGAAGGGTGAGACCCCGACGCTCCGCCTCTGATCTCTGCTTTTGGGGTTCGAGACACTCTTGAGAATCAGAGGAAGGCTTCCAACCCTCTTCCCTGAGAAGAACCCACAGGCACACATGCACTTGCTACATTTAAAGCAGAATTTCCAGAGGTTCTTGCCACCCTGTGGCTGTCTGGGAGGCGGCTCCCGGCTCTGAGCCCTGTCCAGAAGCCTCGGTGAGGGCACCTGCTCGCCAGTCTGGGCGGAGGCCCCTTTCTTTACAGACGCCATTCCTCTGCGTTCTCTTCTCCCTCGTGGTCGTTAACAGGAGGGAGGAAATGACCAGGGGCACTAGGAGCCACAGGGAGGAGAGACGGGCTCTCTCACTGTCTCCTGAAAGGAAGGGGGGCGCCCTCTGCAGATGGAAGGAGCTGGAAAAAGTTTACAGCTCCGCCGGGTCCCGCCCCTCCCGCCGCTCAGCCCCCAGCCCCATCTTATGCTCCCGCGGGAGAAGGCCTCAGGCCCGCACCCGAGGTCACTGGTCTAGGGAGCTGTCCTCATTTCTTGCATTTCTTGAGCACCGCCTGGGGTGGAGGGGAGAATGAGGGGGGCGGCAGAGTCCCCACTGACCTGGGTCCCAAGCAACTTGAGCAGGCCCACTGCCCTGATCCCCCAGAGCTGGGCCGACAGCACACGGACGAGGGTGCGGGCACAGCGGACTTCAGAGGGGTGGCCGGGCCCCTGTGCCGGGGGTGGGGGGCCCATAGCGAGTCCCTCTGCTTGCCGGACCGTTACCTTGTCTGAACGATGGCACGCGTCCTTTCTCACGTGGGGCCCTCTTCAGAAGCGCGCTTCGGGCCGAGATGACTCTCGCCTCTGTCCCCTGCCATCCCCAGCAACAGCCTGTGGACCCTTCACCCTTCCAAACTCAGAGGCCCCCGGAGCCCTGGCCACCTCCCCCCGGCCCGGTCTCCTCAGCAGGGCTGAGGGTCTCAGCAGGCTGACAACATTCCCTCAAAATGTCAATCAAAATGAAAAGCTACAAAGGGCACTGCTTATAACAAGGTTTTAATAAAATAAAAAGTTCAAGTGCTTCCAATCCCCCAACATACCCCATTCTGGTGTGGGGGAGGGGAGGGACCCCCCCCACACCCCAGTAGCACCAGGGATAGCACCATGAGAAAGATGAGGTCGCATCCAGCCTCCCTGAGACCCCCCCCCAGCTGGTGAGGACGTGTCCCAGACAGCCCCTTGCCACAGACAGTCGCGGAGCCAGGAGCAAGCCCACTCCTCTCCCCTCTGTCATGTTGTCTCTAGGCAGTGCCACCCTGGGTCAGCTCCGTTGCCTCCTGAGGCCTGGGCTTCTGGGGAGATGCCATGGGGTGGCCCCTACCCCTTATGGCTTTGCTCCCTGGGCAGGAAGGAGGTGGGTGGGGAAGGGAGCAGCTCCCGCAGTCCTGAGGCTGGAGTTGGGGTAGGAGGGCAGCAGTGGCCACGGTACCCTGCTGGGGTGGGGGTGGCTCAGGGGACAGCAGTCACAAAGGGTCAGGGGTCACACCCCCGGGTGTCCCCAAACCAGCCCAGCCCAGGGCAGAACTGTGCTGGGGCCTAGGGCCAGCCAATGGCTCCTTCTAGAGGTCAGTGAGTCCCCAAGAACTTGGGGCTCGGGGGGAGGGGGGCGAGGAGGGACTCCTTCCTCTCCTGGCCTGGGGCCTCCCCGTCCAGCCTGTCACGGCCCGTCACTGTTGACGTCCAGGTCAATGGAGCCATGGCTGACCACCAGCCTCAGGCGCTTGGGTGGGGAGAAGGGGGCAAAGGCGAGGGCCTGCTTGGGGATGGGGGCAGGGCCTGGGGTCCCGGCCGGGGCAGGGGTGGCAGGTGGGGCTGGAGCCACCCGGCTCAGGTCCACACGCACCACGTAAGGCAGCCCGTAGCGCCGGGCCCAGTGCCAGTCCTGCTGAGGGGCCCAGTGGGCACGGGGTGCTGGGCCCAGGGCCACCAGGGCCTCTGCACGCAGGCAGCAGCGGGGGCCACAGCCGCCCCACTGGTGCAGGGAGACGCGGGCAGTGCGGAGAACGGGAGGCGCTGGGGCCCGCCGCCGCTGAGGGCGTCGGCGCCTCCGGGGCCGCACTCGGAGTGGGGGCTGCGGCAGCCACTGGAGCCAGAGGGGCGAGGCTTCCGGGCGAGCACCGCAGGGCAGAGGGCAGCAGGGCTGGCAGGCTGCTGTGGAGGCCCGGGGAGGGGGGTGCGGGGGAGAGAGTGGAGCATGAGCTGGGCTCTGGCAAGTGCCCCTCCCCCGGCCACCAAGGGCAAGGGCAGGAGGTGGCAGGACAAGGGGGGCATGCGGGGGACGGAGGTCAGGCGCCGGCAGCACAGACAGGTGGGCAGGGGGGCCGGAGGTGGCAGGACAGACAAGGGCGGGACTGGGGGGGGCGCTCACCACAGAACGGGTCCCGGCGCAGCGCGGAGAGGTGAGCACAGGCCCTGGGGCCCAGCAGGCGACCACCGCCGTCCAGGCCCTGCTGCAGCCTCCGCTTGGTCTCCCGGAGCTCATACTTGTCCAGGGGCCGTGGGGGCAGGAGCTCCCTGGGCCGCAGGCGGAAGGCTCCTTCACCTTTCCTGGGGGTGGCGGGAGGGAGAAGGAAGGAAGCAGGCCCTGAGGAAGCACATCCGGGTCGCTGCCCTCCTCCCCAGGACCCCTCCTGGGCACCTCACCTCTCACACGTGTAGCATTCACAGTGCTCATTCTTCTCACCAAAGAAGCCCTCCCCGTAGAAGCAGGTGACCTCGTCCCCTGGCTCGATGTCCCGGAGCACTTTTACGCAGGCCGCGTTCCCATCTGCGGGCACGAACTGGGGGCCCGGGCTGCTCAGCGCGGGTCCTGGCGGCTGCTGGCCTCCACCCCTCCTAGCCAAGCACACTCCCAGGGCTGGGACTGGGGCAGGGACGGGGAGTGGCAGAGGCTGGGAGCCCAGAGTCCTCTGGTGGGGGCACCCCTCCAGGGCCTGCCCTCTGCACACACTCCCTGACCTCCCGCCCATTTGCTGGCCCCCACGCTCCCTGCGGGATGATGATCCAACTGGCCCCTGGCAGTGCACACTGCCTGCTCCTTCCTGCACTCCTCTTCCGCCCCCAGACCCTCCTAGACCCACAGCTCGCTCCCCGCCAGCCTGCACCCTAGCGGCCAGGTCCAACCTCTGCCAGTCTCGGCTGTCTCCCTTCCCAGTGCCCGTCTGCTTTGCAGCCACAGTCTGCGAGAGCCGCCCGCCCGGCCCCCTCCTGCCTCCTGTCCCTGCCCCAGCCTCCTGCCCCTGACCCCACTCCCACCTCCTGCCCCTGCCTCCTGCCCCTGCCCCCTGCTCCTGGCCCCTGCTTCCTGTCTGGGAGGAGTGGGACTCCCCTCCGTCCCTGCAGTCTAGCCTCACACGTGCTTGGGGGTGGCTCTCACCACCCACCCACCCTCCTGATCCCCGGCCAACTGGCCGGAGCCTCCGTGCACAGCAGGGTCTTCTGTCCTTGTCCTCTCTATTCCCCCGGACTCCAGCTGGAGTCAACCTCTCACTCAGTTACACACCAGGTCACACGCCAGCTTCTAGTCCCTCTCCTGCCTGCCAAGCCTGTGGCTCATGGACCGCCAGGCCATCTCAAAACCCAGCCCCATCATTCACCCAGCCGGAGCGTCCACGGTGATGACTTGAGCTCCTCTGTGGCACACAAGGCCAGAGTCACCGTGCCGGGCCTACCTCCTGGCCCTCCACTGAGGTGTATCCGTCTGGGATGCACTGACACGCCTCAGTTTTCCTCCAACACTGAGGAAAATCCTAGTCCTCCTTCAGCGCCGGGCTCTGGCGGGACTTCTGGGCAGCCTCCCTGCTCCGCATGGGGCCAGGCAGGGGGTCTCCAGGTGCAGGGGCACTTCCTGTGTCCCCATCACCACACTCCTCCCTCCAAGGGGTGCAGCCATGACTCTGGCCACAGCCCTCTCCCCCCTCTGATAGCTGCAGGCACAAACAGGGTTGTGGCCTGAGTGGGGGGCTCTGGCCACTTTCTGGCTAGTCACATGTCGCTCCCCGGGGCCCCCTCATTTCCCCCATGCCCACTCCTCCATTGGGGGGTCCCCAAGTCTCACCTTGCAGTTGGGTTTGCAGTCTAGAGCATCAAGGGGAGGCGGGGGAAAGAAGAAACTCAGGTGAGCGGAGGGATGGGCAGAGCTGGGGGTCGTCCCCCGTCCCTCTCCCCCTCCCCCCACCCCCACCCCACCCCGCCCCCACCCCCACCATGGTTTATGAAGGCTGCCGGGCCCAGCCACAGCTGTGCACTCCGTTTCCGGGTGGAGTACATGATGCTGAAGTCGTTCTCCCCAGCCCTCAGCAGCCCCTCGTCCGCCTCCCGCAGCTCTGCGATGCAGCCCACCAGCAGTTCCAGCTTCTCGTTCTTCTTCCTGCCAAGAGGCCAGGCCGTGGGGCGGTGAGCAGGGCCTCCGACCAGCCCAGTGTCTCAGCGGATGGGGGCCTCCAGGGACCGGGGCACTGGGCCTCCTGCAGGCCGCTGCTGCCACCGTGGTCCTCCTCACGGCTTTAGCCAATCCACTCACCTCCCTGGGGTGCTTCCTGGATCCAGCATCCTCTGACACAGGATGGCACCCAGACAGGCACCCCTCCTGCTGTCTGCTCGCCCTGGGCTTGTCCTCCAGCCCCAACTGCCCTTGGGCCTCACACAAGTGGTTCTTCTGCCTGGACTCCCCATGAGCGCTAGTAACGCCCCGCAAACGGTCACCCAGCGCCACCCCCACCCCCCGCCGTGCTTCAGCAGACTCGCTGGTGGGCCTCTGCTTAGGCCAGGTTCCCAAGAACACTCAAAATTCCCTCATGGCTCCTGAAGACCTGAGCAGCCGTGGTCAGGACCTTGGGGGTACCCGGTGACCACCTGCGTCCTAGCTACACCGTACATGGCTGGCAGGGTCCGTCTTGCTCACTGTCCTGTCCCTTACCCAGCAGTGGCCTCTCCTGCCCTGGCCTCCTGCCCCCCTGGGCACAAATGGTACTTCCCCAGCAGTCCCTGGAACCCTGGGGTCCCACGGGGTACTCATCTCCCACTGGGGCTGCGGTAGGCAAAGAGGGTCTGTGGGACTGGGCCTGGCCTCAGCCGCAGAGGCTTCTCCCCTCGTCTGCAGAGGTCTCCTCTCCCAGCAGCCTCCAGGGCCCTGGTGTGTGAGCTCCGGCCTCTTACCAAGCTCTGGTAGACACGATCTTGGCTCCATTTGTCTCCATGGAGTAGCGTGTACAGGGCAGGATGGTAAAGCCGCTTTCAGGCAGGAAGGCTCGGAGGTAGCGATAGATCTGGGGGAGGTGACGGGGTGGGCGGGGTAAGGAGCTGGGGCAGGGTCGTCCTCGGCCCTCTCTCTCCTGGGTCCTAGGCCTGCTCTGCCACTGACTTGCTGTGTGGTCTTGGGGGCCTCACTTCCCCTCTTGGGGGTCTCAGTTTCCTGATCTGTCAAATGAAGAGGTTGTGCTCCACCTCTGAGGGCCCCCAACTCTCCTCTCCTAGGATTCTCTGAGCCTCGTCTCAGATGGACCCAATGGCTAGGAAGTTAGGGAGTCTGGGGGGGGGCTTCGCGGAGGGGCCTGGAGCCTGGGGCTCCAGAAGCTCTGCCTGGCAGGGTGGAGGACCCAGGACAGGCCGAGGTGACAGGGAGGACACGTGGGCTGAGGGTGGGGGAAGGGAAGGGCGCCCTCACGTGGGTCTTGAGGGCAGCCTCCTGCCGAGGGCCCCGGCTCTGGAAGTAGTGGGCCATCCAGCCTCCCAGCGTCAGGGCCCGGTACGCAGCCTCCAGGTCCCGCTGCCTCAGGAAGGCCTCCAGCGCTGAGCGCAGGTGGTGCTGTCGCCGCAGCGGGGGCACGGGGCTGGGGGAGAGGGCACGCCTGGGTCCCAGGGCCTTGGCCTATTCCCTCCGGGCCTTCCCGGGCCCCGCCCCCACCCCCACTCGGGGCTGCCGGGGTGTGGAAGAAGGGAAGGGGTCCTGGCTGGGCCCCGGGTCCTCCCTGTCCCAGGCCGCCTCACCTGACGTTCATCTTATGGGTACGGAAGCCGAGGTAGGGGTCCAGGACAAGGCTGGTGGCAAGGTCGTCGTTCTCACACAGCTCTCTGGCTGTCACTCTGTCGGGTCCCATGGTGCCCCACGGACCATGCTGCCTCTGGCCCAGAGTGGAGGGGGCAATGGAGGGGCAGGGGCAGCGCCCCGGGACTCCCACTTCTGAGCTGCACGGAATTTGGCAAGCCTTTTGGTCTCCAGTCTCATCTACAAATCAGGGCGTAAAGCAAGACTGACTTTGCAGGGCCCTCAGCGAGGACGGGATGCAACAAGTACTCCGACAGCAGGGAAGCCCCGAAAGGACACCCGTCACCGTCATGAGTATCTTCACACTCTGGGGCACAGACACCAGTTCCCCGGGCACACACAACCCACACACTCACACGCAGATTCCCTCATGCCCCCTCGCACCACACACACACACACACACACGCACGCACGCACGCACGCACGCACGCACAGTCCCTACTGGCCCAGGGAAGGCTGATTAATTGGCAGTCAGGGATAACCCTAAAGGCTTAGCCGGGCAGGGGGTGGGAGTTGGGGGAACCCATCTCCACTTCCAGCCCTCACTGAGGAAAAGTCCAAGGCTTCCCACCCTCTAGGACAGACTGTTCCTCCACCCACCCCCACGCTTGTTGGCCTCAGCCTCCACCTCCCTCCCGCTCCCCCGTCCTCCCCACAACCAACAGCCCCTGGGAATCATCAGGAGGTTCTGGGTGAAGCCCCAGGCAGCCTGGAGGGGGGGTGAGGGGAGGGAGAGCGGAGGAGGGATCCCAGCACCTGCTCCCTCTCCAAGGATTCTGGGGGGGGGTGCTCAGAGGACAAAGCGGGGAAGGGGGGAGAGAAAAGGAATGATATGGAGAGGCAGAACAGGTCTATCAAAAGGGGAGAAAGAAGGGAATTAGCAAACGGAAACAAAACAAGACCCCTAACCCTGACGGCGGCGGAGGGCCGGCTGGGCATCCAGACCATCCAGACCGCGGTGCTTCAGGGAGAGTCCATGGGGGACCGCAGGGGAGGGGGAGTCGAAGAGGGATCAGCAGCTAGAGCTGGGGGAAAGGGGTTCTAGAAAAGACAGGAAGGCTGGGGATGAAGGAGGGGGCGCTGAGAGAGGGCGCCGGACCGAGCGGAAGCTGCAGAGAGGCATGTGGGTAAAGACGAAATACACAGACTGCACAGAGGGGCGCTGGGGCCGGGAGAGGGCTGGGGGTGCCTGCTGGACCCGGAGCACCCGGGGAGGCCTGGGCGTCAGGGACGACCTCGCGAAGGCCAGAGTGGAGCCCTGGAGTTGAGGGCAGGTCCCGAGGAGGTGGAGGGGGGCCTAGGGGTCCACAGCCGGGCTTGGACAGGCGGAGAAGGGGCAAGTCCTGCCCGTCAGGGAGGAGCGAGCCTGGGGTCCAGGCAGGGACCTGGGCAGGCACTGAGGGTCCAGGAGCGGGGGCTGAGGTCCGCGGCAGCAGTGAGGAAGCAGACGGGGGCCTGGCGGGCAGTGAGAGTGCAGGGGAAGGGCCTGAGGTCCAAGGAGGGGAGTGGAGAGCTGCAGGGCGACCCGAGGGGTGCGCTCAGGCCCGGGAGTGCGGGGAGGGGCCTGGGTGAGGAAGCACAGGGAAGCGGCTGGGCGCCCGCAGCAGCCTGAGGCCCGCCGAAGGGCCGGGAGACGTGGGCTCCTGGACACGAGGAGGGGCCGGACGGGGCGGGGGACGGTCGGGGCTGGGGGCGACCGGGAGCCAAGGCGGCGCGGGCTGGGGGCCGAGAGGGGGCTCAGAGGTCGGGCCCCGCGCCGCCCCTCACCCGCTTCTCCTCCTCCGCCTCCTCCTCCTCAGGCACCCGCGCCGCCGCCTCCACCACCTCCCACTGCCTGCTCCAGCTCTCGTCAGACACGGCCGCCGCGCCTCCCGTCTGCGCCGCCGGGCCCGCCCACCACCGCCAGCCGGAGCCCCCATTGGTCGAAGCGGCCGCCGCTCCTCAGTGGCTGGGCGCTCTCGCCGCTCCCATTGGCCGAGTCTCGCTCGTCCCCTCCCCGCCGGCCCTCCCGTCCCTGCCCCTACGAAACCCCGCTCCGCCCGCACCGCTGCCAAGCGCCGCCGACGGCGGCTAATGGTTCCCGTCGCTGTCCTTCCACCGCTGCCATGGAGACTTGCCCCGCCCACTGCCCTGAGTCGACGCCCTCATTGGCCGAGAGCGTCGTGGCTCCAGGCTAAACTCGGGTTTGGGTCAGGTTATTCGGGTCCAAGCGGGGAGGGGGCGGGCCCTGCCGTCTCCATTTCCCGCGTGTGATTGGCCGGCCCTGGAACGGCTCGTCCTTCCGTAGGCTAAGGCCTCCGCCCGTCACCGCAGGAGTAGTGACCGGCCCATTCTCTTTCCCCGGTGAAACCTTCGCAGACCGCGGGTAGAGAGCCGGGGCGGGCGCGAGGGGTGGGAGCGCGACGGCGCCTGGCCGACCCCGCTCGGCGGGCTGTTGCCGCGGCGACCAGAGTTTATTGACAGCCCTGCCCGGCTCCCGAGGGCGCGTCGCTCCCGCTCTCTGCTCCACCGCCTTCGCCGCCGCGAGTGCCCCTGGCGATTTCGCGAGCGCCCCGAGAGCTCTGCGGGCGAGCGGGTGGGGGAGGAACCTGGGAAGCGCGGCCTTTGGAGAGGGCTCCGCGGGGCGGCGCCTCCCGCCGTCCGGATCCCCAATCTGCTCCCACCCTGGAGGCGCACATGATCAGCAATTCACCGCCGCTGCGCCCGGAATAACGAGCTGCGCGCTCGGGGCCGGCGCTCTTTGTTTCGCGCGCCGCGTGTGTCTGGTGCGCCGGGAACAGGGCCCGGCACGGGGAGGGCGGCCCCACTGGGAACCGGCCGAATGAGCGCGAGGCGGGCGCGGACGATGTCCGCGTCACTCTGTGGCGTCGGGTAGGCGGCTCGCCCTCTCTGGCCCTCGGGCTCGCGCTCGCCGGACAGGGACCACCCGGGCCCTCGCTGAGGGTTTCTCCTTAACACCCTCCTGGGTGTCTTCTATCCGCGCTTCCAGCTTCCCTCCCCGCATCTCTGCTTACGTTGTTCCTTGCCCAGCCGGGACGACCCCCTACCCCAGCTCTGACACCGCTCCCCCCAACCGAGGTACCCCCCCCACCCCCCAGTAGGGATGGTCACAGCTCCAGAGGGCAGCAGCGGCCAGCAAGCAGAGAGGACTCTGAAAGCTTAGCTCTCTGGCAAAGTCCTAGTAGCGTGTCCTCATCTTAGAGGCGCAGCCCTTCCATCCGCGGGTGTCCGCCCTGGATCAGCACCAGCAAATGTGAGCAGAAGGATAAGCTCCTAACGGTGTTGGTAGCGGTAAAAAACTGGAAACGGCTTAGATGTCCATCACATGAAGAATGGGTAAATGGATCATACAGGGGAGCACCATACAGCAGTGGAAGGGAGTGAGCCGCGCTCCCTATATCCACCCGGACAACCCCAAAGCATGTTGCTAGCTGCGGAAGTCTGCGTAGCGGAGCGCGAAGTCTTAAAACCCACAACACAAGGGTGGTGTGTGGATGCGTGTTTTAAATGCGTATAAACATGCATCGGGCGACAAAAGGAGGAGCGGGACCCGACCCATGACCCCTGCAGGTGGAGGGGAAGGAATGAAATCAGGAAGCCACACGTGACATTGGTATTTGTACCTTTTTTTTTGGTAAGCCCAGAGGTGGAAACCATGAGTTCACTATAAACACTATCTGTTGTTTTTCTCTCCGTCAAAAGATTTCATAATATGAATAAAAATTTGACCTGCTGGGCACCTGGATGTCTCCTTTTATGATCCCAGAGTTCCTCCCTGCTCAGTGGGGAGTCTGCTTCTCTGCCCCTCCCCTGGCTTGTTCTCTCTCTCTCTCAAATAAATAAGTAAAATATTGGGGAAAAAAAAAAAACTTGACCTGCCAATTCCAGGGTTTTATTCGAAGGAAATAACTGACAAGCGTTAAGATATTTGTATAAAAGTGTGCCTGAGTGGCTCAGTGGGTTAAGCCTCTGCCTTCAGCTCAGGCCATGATCTCAGGGTCCCAGGATCGAGCCCCACATCGGCTCTCTTCTCAGTGGGGAGCCTGCTTCCCCCTCTCTCTGTCTGCCTCTCTGCCTACTTGTGATCTCTTTCTTTCTGTCAAATAAATAAATAAAATCTTTAAAAAAAACCCAGAAAAATAGAAAAACCCTTAATGTCCAACAATAGAAGATTGGTCAGATCACAACAGCAAATCCAGCAGACGGAATAACAACAATGCTTAGCAGTTCCTGAGCTCTCTGCATGGGCCAGCGACTTTGCAAATAGCCATGAGAGGGAAGGGCTGTTATGACGCCCATTGTGTAGATGAGCAAAGTGAGGCTTACAGAGGGGCTTGAACAGGCCAACAGACACCAGAGGTTTACTCTCAGACTCGGGGCTACAGTGCCCACCTAGCAACCTGTGGGTTCTCAACCTCAGATGGCACAGGAAGAGGCACCCCAGAGAAGGAGTGAAGCTTGGACACAAGCCGTAACGCAGATGGACTGTGAGATCGTGCCAGGTAAAAGGAGCCAGATGCCAAAATTCGCGTATGGAATGATTCCATTTCTTTCTTCTTTTTATTTTTTTTATTATTTTTAAAAGATTTTATGTATTTATTTGGCAGAGAGAGAGACTGAGACACAAGCGGGGGTATCAGCAGGCAGAGGGAGAGGGAGAAGCTGGCTCCCTGCTGAGCAGAGAGCCCAACATGGGGCTCAATCCCAGAACTCTGGGATCATGACCTGAGCCGAAGGCAGACATTTAACCTACCGAGCCACCCCAGCGCCCCTCTTTCTTCTTTTTAAACAGATGTATTTATTTTAGAGAGAGTGTGTGCAGGGAGGGGGTGCAGAGCACAGGGAGAGAATCTCCAGCCGACTCCCCACTGAACATGAAGCCCTGCTCAGGGCTTGATCTCATGACCCTGAGATCATGACCTGAGTGGAAATCAAGAGTTGGACGCTTAACCAACTGAGCCCCCCAGTCATCCGGGAATGATTCCATTTCTATGAAATTTCCAGAATAAGTAAATCCGTAGACACAGAAAGCAGATTCATGATTGCCAGGGCTGGGCGGGGTGGGGGGGGGGAGGATTAGAGGAGACTGGGTAGGGGCTAATAATAGGTATGGTGTTTCCTTTTTGGATGAAAAGATTCCAGAACTAGAGAATGGTGATGTCACAGAACATCATGCATGTACATAAAGTCATTGAACTGTACACTTCAAAATGGCTAAAAGGGTAAATTTGATGTTAGGTGTATTTTACTACCGAAAGAGAGAAAGAAATAATCACCTGAGAAATACAGTGAAAATATAGATTCTAAGTCTCAGGCGCCAGAAAGCCCTGTTGGGTATTTAATAATTAATTATTTTAGGACAGTGCTGCCCAAGTGTG